CTCCCTGGAAAAAGACCCTGATGTTGGGAAAGTGTGAAGGCAAGAGAGAAGGGGATGACAGAGGACGAGATGGTTGGACAGTGTCATCAAAGCTACCAACATGAATTTGATCAAACTCCCGGAGGCAGTGGAAGACACGAGGGCCTGGCATGCTCTGGTCCATGGGGTCACAAAGAGTCGGACATGACTTAACAACTAGACAACAACAATCTGTCATGATGCCACAGAGGTTTATAGCTCTCACAAAGCTTATTGACTGGGAATAGTTGTAGAGTGCCATGCTAAAAGAACAAGTCACGCTGAAGCTTTTGGGAAGAGATGACAAGTTAATATGATTAGTCCAACTAAACCACAAGCCCTGAGATATAGAGGGATGGGGATTTAAGTTCAAGGAGCAGTCTTCCTAGATAATGGCATGGTCCATCATCAGGCATGCACTGTTGCTATGTTGGTGATTCAAAACAGCATTAAGCCTGGATGCTGTTTAGGCAACAGAACTAGCAGCTTCCAGCTCAGTTGGCTGTTGCTTCAAATAACATCCCTGAGTAATGTTCCTGTTCATTTTCTCCCATCATAATTAAAGGTTGCTACTCACCTTTATGGAAAAAAGATATTCGCCAATGCCAATTCCAAGTCCCACAGTAGTCTCATTGGATCAATAGAATTGACATAAGTGTTGGCATACCATTCAGCAATTGATTCAATGGATCTGCTTTCTTTGTTCTTCTCTAGCACTTAATGCTCTCCCTGGAAAAAGACCCTGATGTTGGGAAAGTGTGAAGGCAAGAGAGAAGGGGATGACAGAGGACGAGATGGTTGGACAGTGTCATCAAAGCTACCAACATGAATTTGATCAAACTCCCGGAGGCAGTGGAAGACACGAGGGCCTGGCATGCTCTGGTCCATGGGGTCACAAAGAGTCGGACATGACTTAACAACTAGACAACAACAATCTGTCATGATGCCACAGAGGTTTGTAACTCTCACAAAGCTTATTGACTGGGAATAGTTGTAGAATGCCAAGCTAAAAGAACAAGTCACACTGAAGCACTTGGGAAGAGATGACAGGTTAATGTGATTAGAGTCCAGCTAAGCCACAAGCCCTGAGATATAGATGGATGGGGATTTAAGTTCAAGGAGCAGTCTTCCTGGATAATGGCATTCTGGATGGTCCGTCATCAGGCATGCACTGCTGCTATGTTGGTGCTTCAAAACAGCATTAAGCCTGGATGCTGTTTAGGCAACAGAACTAGCAGCTTCCAGCTCAGTTGGCTGTTGCTTCAAATAACATCCCTGAGTAATGTTCCTGTTCATTTTCTCCCATCATAATTAAAGGTTGCTACTCAACTTTATTTATTTATTTATTTAATTTATATGCCGCCCACACTACCCAAAGGTCTCTGGGCGGCTTACAGCATTTAAAATACAATAAAGATATGTACAATTAAAATACAATTAAAATATATATAAAATTGCCATCAGACCCACAGCTAATATTATTTCAGTTAAAAGCCTTCTGGAACAGGAAGGTTTTGATCTGGCACCGAAATGTCATCAGTGTCGGCACCAGACGAATCTCAGTCGGGAGGGCATTCCATAGTCTGGGGGCAGCTGCCGAAAAGGTCCTTTGTCTACAAGCCGTCCCTCTTACCTCTTTGAGGGATGGCTCTTTCAAAAGGGCCCCCTGGTTAGATCTTAACTGCCGGGTAGGCTCATATGGAAGGAAAAAAAAATTTATGGAAAAAAAATATTCGGCAATGTCAATTCCAAGCCCCACAGTAGTCTCATTGGATCAATAGAATTGACATAAGTGTTGGCATACCATTCAGCAATTGATTCAATGGATCTGCTTTCTTTGTTCTTCTCTAGCACTTAATGCTATCACATGGAGTGTCACAATTGTTGAGACCTCCTCGCACACATATATTGTACCCAAACGTGTTGTTTTTGATTGTGATTATCACAATCCTTTGTAGCTGGTGTCAATGGATGGAAGTATGTTGTTAAGTGCACTTACCATATTTTAAGAGAGCTTTTCATAAGAAGGAAAATATAAAACAATTTGCTTATCATCACCTGGTCTTGTGGGAAAGACAAGAGACAGGATGCCCAAGCTCACTTGGTTATTTGTCTCCTTGAGCCTATCTATGCATCCAATTTGGGTCTTTTAAAGAGGGGGTTCACTTGCCCATTTATTCGGATGTGTTTAACTTATCTATGCAACATCACTAGAATATTTTGCCTTGCTTGGGAAATTGGGTTTTTTGGCAATTCAGTTTGTTTCAGTTGTTCATGTCTCTGCCTATTATGGAGGCTTGTACAGCTAGAAATCCCCTGAGATCAGCTGGGAGGTCAAATATGAGAGTGTTCTCTCCAGCACAGAACAAAGGAGAACTACTCACCTGCCTTCTTACCCTGACCTGTAAAGCTAGTCCGTTTCACCAGAAAGCAACAAGTAGTTGCTAAATGAGAAACCCTTCCTCTTGCCCTCCGTTTTGCCAACCAAACGTAAAGCACTCCCCCTCCAACAAGGCTATTAAGAATAAGGTCAGTGTGTGTGACGAGAGGGTGAAACCATATAAATGCACACAGGCTGATGAACAGAAAGGAAAGAACTTCCTGCTCTTTTCCTAAAGAAGGAATAACAATGCATATTTTAATACCAATCTTCAAAATTCAAGACAAATGCGGAACAGAAGCTTTAAAAGCCCATTGTATTGTTTCCTGTTTGGAGGGGGAAAATGTATACAGGGATGGGACATTGCCAAGCACTTGAAAGACAGATATAATACTTAGTAGTCAGCTAGGTTTGGCCTGGAGCCCACAATTTGTGCAGTCTTGTTTTTGAATACCCTTTAGAATAAAGTCCTGTTTAATGAGATACAATAACTTTAAATTAAAGGTGGGCTTCTTGAGAGACATGTTCAAGCAGATGTCTTTCTATATTAACACAAAAGAAGCTTTTAAAAATATACTCATCTATGACTCTGATTTACTTGAACAGAACGTGCTTGAGAATAAGCATGTTTATCATGGGATTTCTTACTTTCATAAAGTTTCTGAAACTCTTGAGGACCTGAACTGACTTCAGTTCTAAAGCAAATTAGTATGACATTTATTTGTCACTAATAGTTAATGAGTTGTTATCCACCTTGATTATGGCAAGCAGGATATAGGTTAACAGGCATTGCACATGTTCAAGCTCTGTGAAATGACAGGAAGACTACAGCATGGCAGAAATAGAAATGTAGGAAAAATGAAGTTTTTAGATATGATGAAGGGAATAAACAATGGACAGGTTAGGCTTGGAATGTTAGCATTTCTTCATCTATGTTTTTGCCCAGGTAAGTCTACAGGTCTTAACACTGAGGCCAGGAACTGCCATGGGCAGCAATCCTGCAGGAAAACAACTTAACTCAGCATTGGCCTGGAGAACTGCCAGATTTTATGACCTTATAAAGACAATCACTCTAAAGACCACTCTCCAAAGTGCTGTACCTAAAAGAGTCAGTAATTGTTAATGGAGTCAATGGTTTCAGTTGTGTTGCTCATCCTAACTAGAATAGACCTATTGAGTCAACTGGTGGATGTTGAGTCAATAGCCATTTAAATCCCATTAGTTTTGTGGCTTTATTCGAGTTGAATTATCGAACTATTTTCAGGCCACTGGCTTTTTCAAGGATAGTAAACTTTCCAGGCTTTGGGACTACAAGCTTCATAATTCATAAACACTAGTCATGCTGTTGAGGGCTCATGGGAAGTATAGCCCAAAGCTCTTGGAAAACACAAGACTGCCTACTCCTGTTCTACAGAATGTTCTTCATTCTGTAGAACAGAATGCAATTGAGTTGTTGCAATTGAGTTTGGGAATGCACATCATTGACTTCCTGATTGTTGGAGGAATCTTCATGGTCTGATGGCAGGAGTCTTTTCCAAGAGGGCTCCACTAGGGAATGTCTCCAATTCCTTCTCAGAGACCCTGCTCATCAAATAGCTGTATTCCAAAGACTCTCAGTCTGGGCATGTGACACCCTCACCTACCAGTTGCAGAACCCACAAAACAGAATCAAGCTCACAAGAAACAGACTTGGGGAAAATACACTTTTTATATCAATACGGGTATTATTTTCCTTCCCCATTTTAAAAAAAATCTGTTTTACACATGTAGCATTGCTTACTATGCAATCAGATGTTGGATCTGATTATAACAACACAAGGCACACCAACTTGACATTTTCTTGACCTTTTTGAAATTTGGTTGTAGAATAACAACTGGACACTGAATTTGTTGTTTATTTATTCAACAAAAAAAAAGAATACCTCTGTGCAGAATAGAATGTCAATATGGCCTGGTCCTTCAGACTGACTGATTTGGAAAGGAAAGGAAAGGAGAATGTCAACTGTTCACTTTGAACAGTTTGGAAATAGGCAAACACCTTCCTTTGCTCTATTCTCTAAACAAATTCCAAATTCTAATCATGTGCCTAATCTCTTCCACAAATTTATCTCATGGCACTAATGTAATGTTTAGAAGCCCACAGTCCCATAGGTGGGATTGATTGAGTGGGCCTTTTTCATAGCATCAACACTGGTGGGGTTGTCCCTGGGAAAACAACCAGAAAAATCGGCAGTAGCTGAACATGCTCTAAAACAAGCTGGACATGAAATTCTATTTCAAAATACTGAAATACTGGACAACACCAGCAATCATTACATTAGACTGCACAGGGAAGCCATTGAAATCCACAAACACCAGGAGAACTTCAACAAAAAAGAAGAAAGTTTTAAACTCAACAAAGCTTGGCTCCCAGCACTGAAAAATATAGCGTGCAAAAGGTCAATGAACTCTACCCAGCCACAAGGACCAGTGATCACTACATACAAAAGACCAGCTAACGACACCCATCAATCACAGTGACAGATAATCGCTCCTCCTTATCACAACAATACACTCACAACAAAAACACACTGATCACCATACTCACCCATTTCCTGAAAAGGACAAAAGCTGATCCCCAGCTATAAATACTCAACTCCCAAACAAACTGCACCAGAGCACAGAGTGCTGTCCTCTGAAAATGTCGGCCACAGAGACTGGCAAATGTTAGGAAGAACAACCTTCAGAACATGGCCAAAGAGCCCAAAAAAACCCACAACAACCATTAGATCCCAGCCATGAAAGCCTTTGCGAATAAATTGTTTATGAATTAGACCTTCATTTCAGGACCAGTTCAATGGTTCTCACATGGCCCGTTACCTCACTCAAGCAATGATTTAGAGCATCAATTAACTCATCAGATGAAAATGAGAAGTTAAGGAGAGTATCACCCACATACTGATGACAATTCAGATGATAAGAAGAGTCCAGAGGAATACCATAGGGACTCTATCCCTAGGCAGGACAGTAATAATAATCTCTGGTATGAGCCATCCAAGTAGGATGTAGAACGACCCCCAATTTCAGCTCTGAAGGCCTCTAAGCTGTGTTTGTGCAAATACAGTAAAAGTCCACCTCCACCCCATCGTCTGGACATAATCATATTTGCTTTATTCCCCTCAGCTGTGCAAGGAGAGCGTTTGACTGTGATCATGTCATTAACTTGGGAGGTATTCACATTCCACACACTGCACACAAGGTCAATAGAAGCACCAGCCATGCCATGAAGAAAATTCCCCCCAAATCCTTTAATATCCATTGCAATCCATTTGCCTTCTTGAAGTGGATCGATGTAATCAACCCCCCTCCCTTGCAAAGGGAAAAAGTCAGTGGAAGTGTAAATGTCAGAAGGAAATGATTTGATTAAATCAAGGAAAGGGGTCTTAAATCCAAAAAACTTCAGATCACCACTTTCATGTCCACTTGGGAAAAATTGTATCCAGAGTATTTTGCTCAGCAGGACTCCTTGGAAGCCACATGCCCTGAGCCAGGGTCATATAAGGACAGCTCTATAGCTCCAGTGAAGTCCTGAGCCCCGATGGATTCAGTGGTTTTAGTATTTATGTTGAGATTCTCAAGCACAACAATGAGAGGAGGAGGATCCTCAATATCAAATTCAAGGCTGCTTCTATTAGCTTGGATGGAAAGACTGCTAGGCAATGGGAAGGATGGTGTGTCAGCAGAAGGCTACCCTATCACTGTCTATAGACAATTTGAGATCATGAAGGCAGCACATATGCTATAATTTCTCCATTGCTAAATCCTCCAGCTTGCCCCAAAGCTTCACTTGTCATGCTTGTAACCTGACTGAGACGACACATGCAGCCCAAAGTGATGACACAAGAGTCACTTGTTCAGAGATTTTCCATTGCCTCTCCTTATTTGATATTTATCATCAAAGTTGATTATATTGGTACAGTGCCCCCTTTCTTCTTACAATCCAGACACTTCCTGATAAGGTAAACAGAGGAAGACATTTTACTGAAAAATCTAGGAACATCTTTACCTACTTTGGTTTCTTCAAACTCTCAGGCTTGTAAAAATGCACGTCACTTTGCAGCGCATTCACTTTAATATGGTGGGTTATTTTGGAGGTGTATCTTTGCTTCTGATTCAGAAATAGCTCAAAAAGGCATTTCATATACCATATGAAAATAAAAACAGTTTTGCATTGAACAGCATTATCTATCATGTCATTGTACAGAAGTATATTTGTACATATATATGCATATATTGAAAAAAACAATATTCACTTACCTTAAGCAATGCAAATTTGGGAAGCTTACAATTGCAAAGATCAGAAAAAATCTTGCTGGGCAGGAATAAAAAAGCAGAAATACTTTACTCATGGCTTTAAAGCAACGTGGATAATTTATAACAACATCCTTTTCTAATTTAGTTTGCTACTGTGTTTGAAAGCTGCTGGGTCGGCAAGGTAAATTAATAGCTAGCTCTCCCACCAGGCAAACAGAAATAAACCAGCTTCTGGCAATCTTAAAACAGATTTGACTGGTAGCACAGAGCCTTCTGCTGGGCCACAGGAGAATTGTTGAGAGGAAATCTGAGCAACGGAGGGCCAGTTGAGGAACTATTGGCTGCCTTGGTTTTAAACGATCTGGATTCCCAGGGTCCCCAAACAGAACACAAACCTAAGAGTGCAACCCTACAATTATTGAAACTTACTGTACAAATCCTATACCCAGTTATCTGGAGCTGAAACCTACTGGCAAACTAGAACAGAGAAAGATGAGATCCGTGAAATCTCCCATAATAATATAACTATTAGTCTTGAAGGTGCCACAATGTTTTTGTTTTTGTATTGTGTTCTTTTAAAAAAATTTCTCTTGTAATGCTTGTAGTCTTGAAGGTGCCACAATGTTTTTGTCTTTGTAATGTGTTCTTTTTTTTAAATTTCTTTTGTAATGCTTGCATAGACTTACATGGCTACCTCTTCTAAAACTACAACTATGAAGAGAAGTAACCATTCCTGTACCTGGTGACAAGGCAAAAAAAGAGAGAAAACTTACTGGCTGAAATCCTATTGCACAGCTCCATGTGTGCAATAGTGATGATGTGTCATCATCATCAGCTACTAACTAAAGGCCTCCGTTGGGGATTTCAGGGTGTACATAACTTCATCACATTGTATACAAGTTGCATGCACCCCTAAATCAGCTTTAATCAGTAGCAATTTGCTCCTTGATGATGACTAGAGATGGGGGTATTCATATTGTGGATGCCACAATTCTTCCAATGGCTCTGCAGATCGCAATCTGCGAGCCACTCTTCAACCTTGCAGTGAGGCTTGTCCTCCCACCTCTTGCCGGAGTGGTGAGCCGATCGCGATCTGCAAAGTCATTGGAAGAATCATGGCATCTGCAGCAGCAGCGGATCAGTGAGTGGACCGTCCGGCCCCATGGGGCTGGACCCTCATTATCGCCACCTGTGTGGGGATATTCATACTCGTATATAACTACCCCCCATCTCTAATGATGACAAAGCTGCGAAACAGGCTTTCAGCCACTGTTTCTTGTTTGAAGAAATCTGTTTAGGGATAGTGCAAAACAAACTGATTTCTAAAGTTAGTTATAAAAGCCCCTTGAGCTAAATTTCCTTTTACAGTTCTGCCCCACAGTTATTATGGAGTCTGGCCTATTGAGAAGAAAAAAAAAGTGTTAAGCTCTCTCAAGCAGAATCTTCATCAGAAGATGGTGCATATAACTCAGGTGGAGTCTTTAGGAGATCAACTCAAGGACCTAGTTGGCGGCCTTTGCTCAGACAGGCAGGAGAAGGAACGTGGCCATTCCAGACAGAATCCCTTCCCTCTTGAAAGGAAAAGAGCCTTTGGGGATGAACATGCTCCCGGACTCTGAGGACACTAGCAGCTCAAAGTACAGCTGAGTCTAAGTGAGCAGGCGTTCGTTTCTCTTGGCTCTTGCTGGGGGCTCATAGCTTTCCTTACTCCTTTGCTCAATAGACCTCCTGCTGACTCAACCCAGGCTGCTTCCTGACTATGGCCCTGCATACATTGAAACCACATTTTAAAAACCAGCAGGCACAATCAATAGAATAAGGAGACAGTTTAAAAGTCAAACACAAAAAGAGGGACAGCAAATATCTTATGAATCGATGCAGAGCATATGAGATTAAAATCCTGATTGCTCCAACATGTTTCTTATCTATACAATACTGTACTCAACTCCGTATAAATTGCCACATTCAGAGATAAAGCTGAAGAATAAGCCACTGCCTTTTGCTTCCTGGCAGTCTGTGGCTTAGCACCCACTGCTGAAACAGACGACAGGCACCATGTCAGCCAGCTCATTATGGGAAGTACTCCGGGGAAACTGGAGTTCTGCCAAACAGCTTCTCAGTCTCCCTGATAACCTTTCCCCTTCTTCTCTATTCAAGAAAGACTAACAATACCAACAATTGCAAAAGAAGGCTCAGGCTGCCACAAGGTTTTGTCTGTTTCAAATCCCACCGGCCTTGTGACTAACAAAGATGTTTCTGACGATGCCATGACCTTTGTTGTGATCGATTTCCCTGTTAATCATTAGCAGCCAGATGAACGTCATTTACTGCAAACTGTGTGGCTCACTATTTGCACAGAAGAGGAACACAGACAGGCAAGGTTAGAGATTTAGAAAATCTCTAAAATATTGGCATTTTATAGTTTGGCATCCAGGACTGAGTTTGAACAGGGGCAGGGGTACACAAACATTTAGGCCCCATTCTTGTGTGTCTACCTATCTA